ACTTCCTCATTTTGCCCCCTCCTCTGGGCTCCCGACTCTTTCTGTAGCCTTTCTACTGCTACTCCTTGGCTCCTTCTTACTGCCGTCTTTCAGCCACACCCCTGATCTTAGGGAGGGTAAGATCGAACCCCTAGCCTTCTCAGAAAATGGGGGAAAAATCTCGGAGGTCCGCCGTGTGCAAGTTGTGCACATTAAAGATCCCCTGGAGGTCCTAAAATCGATAGGAGTAGGCTTCGGCTGTTACCCATGTAAAATTAAATATTAATTCTTCAAACTAAAAATGCTTAATGCTCTCATATGACCTTATGCAGTTGCTAGTGCTGTAAAACACTTATTTAAAAAAATAAAACAAATTGTTATTACTACTATCATCTTCCCTGTGCTCGGTTTAAGGTACCAATATAATTAACGAGATCACGTTCTCAGAATGCTGGCAAGATGGTGCAATGGTGCCCGGTAAGAGACTGCCCAAGTAAACCGCTGGATTTGGTGCTTTTGCTTGCTGGGCGCCAGCAAACGGAATGCATTATTGCAGTCCTTGTTGCTAGACCCGAGTTATAAAAACAGACAGTGCAGAATGTCAAACAGCTGCATTTGCTTTTCCTAATAAGTTGGTAGATTTGTTATATTCTTACTTTGCTGTAAAAATCAATTTGATGAACAAAATCAAAGGATGTTCCAAATTAAATGCAAGAAAAATGAGGCAAGCATTGCTTGCTATGCTCATATTCACCATCCGCCCCTGACAAAAGTATGAATCACTGTTGAAAAGTAGGTATTACACCATTACATGGAACAACGATATAATACATTGTAGGCCTAGTGAGGAGCATATCATAAAGATGTCAGCCGTTTTACTCTAGAGCGGGTTTCCTTTTTTGTGAAAAGAGGCACATTCTTCAAACATGACAAAACATCCTATAAACAGGAGATCAAGTAACAGGTTCGTGTGTGTTATAGTCAACATGTCGACTACACAATATTCATCATTCATGATGAACAGTACTAAGAAAATCTTTATTTTGATCAGTTATGTAAACTGGAAGCATAAACCTGTACCATTAATAGGCTACTAAAAAACAAAGGTTTGTTACGCTAAACATTTATGACAAAACAATGCTTGTCTCCTATATAGAGACACAAAAACACAAAAGCTCAAACGCTTTATGCTCTTGAAGCAGTGCCAGTAGGAATCTATAAGAATAAAACATGAAAAGAAATTAGAAATAAAACATAGACCAAAAAACGCATATAGCATAGCTCTAACCATGACCACATAAACACTGTACACTTACTTTTGGAGACCCTCTTTTTATGAAAATACCTCGATTTACCATAGGAGTAATTTGTTTTCTCGCACACACATTTAATGCAGATAGTTTCCAGTATGCAAATGTTAGTTGTTGTTTTTTTCAACACCTTCAACTATTCATTCAATACTGCACGTAAGAACAATAAAATTATTACAAATGTACAAGTGGGCTTTTTGCATGTTTTTCAGACCTATTTATGCAGAATACGACATTTGAGTATGATAGCATCGTTTTTTATGTAAGATCTCTGCTTCATCAGATCATGTGACACGTATTCTATAAGACCCCAGCAGTCTGTCCCGTCCTCATTAGTACTTGTCGGTCTATTGTAGCGGAACTTATTTCGGACTGGGGCAGATGGCTTCAGGGAATCGGAGTTGTCATCTGAAATGAAGAACGTGTAATGAGAAAAAATACAAAGATTTCCTTATTATTAATATTGTAAAACCCGTGCTCCAAACAACAAAACTTGCTCAAATTATAAAACAGATGGAGAAATAGAGAGATGAAAAATAGCCCCCCAAAATTTAAATCTCTTTAATAGACATCAGAGAGGAGCCGAGGCTGGATCATATTATTTCCTCTGAATAGCAAAAGTCAAACTGAAATTGAACAAGCACGGTAGATAAAATAGCCACCTAGCAAAGAGAAATGACGTGAGAGAATAAAACCAGATCACCAACAGACTACTAGGGGGTTTCAGAAACTCATTGAAGGGCCCAATGGAAAAGAAATACTCTTGTTCCATGGCAACAGCATTAGATTACAAAAAATAACGATGGGCATAACATTTCCAAAAGTTTTGAATAGATCACCTTTACCTGACAAATTCAAATTTGACAGATTGCAGCCAGTGGAGAATTGAACATAAACACATATGAAATAACCATGCCGAAAATGTTATCTAATGTCTTGAAAATGTCTATCACCACATTTAAAGAAAATGGAGGAGGTTTGAGACATTGCATTTCTTATTTAATGAAGTTATTTAAGCAGACGGGAAACTGATGATGTAATGGAGAAAAAGAAACAACATAAAACTACCATAAGAAGAAGATTTAAAAGACTGCGGCAACTGGAAAAGAATAACGTTTTTAATCAGTGCCTAGAAAACTACTGGTATTTTACTCAATTATTTAAGCTAGTATTACAACAACTAGGCCTATAGACACAGTTTTGAGAGAGGAGCAAGCGGAATTTCGATCTGAGAAATCATGTAGGTCTACATATCAATTAGCTTTGCTTCAAAGACCACTGTAGCACAAACTAATGAATGAAATGTCCCAATTGTGTTACAACGTGGTGGGATCAGGCCCTCTTTAATTTTTGGGAGGATGGAGTTATGGGTATCACGTAAAAGCTTATTCATTTGTCAAGCTTCCAAGTTTTAAAAATACTCATCTATCTTGAAAAGAAGTCGAGATATTTGCGATTGAAAACGGTAGGGTCGCCGGGTTACAGTTATAAAATTAAGAGAGAAAATGGCCACCAAACATTGGTAACTTCAATAGCTTGAAAACTGAAAAATTACATATTCTATGCCTTCAATAAACGCTTTTAAGTCAAATTTACTTGAAAATGTTTTTATGTGGACATAAAAAACCAACACAAATTTCATTAAAATTTCCAAACTGGTGGAAAAATGCCTGTTTCCCCGATTCCATTAATTTGACGAGTGCCTTATTCACCATGATGCCTCAAAACCATTTTTTCAATTTGCGGACAGGAAATAAGTTTTTCACAGCATTGTCCAAAAAAAGCCCTATGGGAAAATTCTTGCAATTAATGGCATCCCAGCAAAAATAATAAACTATAATGCCTATATATACCTAAGCAAATTGCTGTCTCCTGGTTGGTTAAATGAGAACTGTTTACTTCGTTTGTAGTAGTAATGGACGTTAGACAAGGCTGTATACTTTGACTTTGTAAAGAGACTCAGCAAAAAGCATCAAAACAAGCATTTTACAGACAAATGGTAGGCTGCACATTTGAGAGATTTAGATGTTCCTAATGACATTTGTCACTTAAAACATCACAGTACATTTAATGCTATCAAAAAGTGATGAATCGTCAAGAAAAAGTTGGTCAAAAAGAATATCAATTTTCCGGGGGCTGCCCAGTTTGTCATAGGTCCAGTTTGTCATAGGTCCAGTTTGTCATAGGTCCAGTTTGTCATAGGTCCAGTTTGTCATAGGTCCAGTTTGTCATAGGTCCAGTTTGTCATAATTACAACACTTTAACACTGTAGTAGGAACATAATTTTTTTATTCCCCACCTTCAAATTGGTGGTGTAGAGATAGTCCCTCTAAAATATCAATTCAGCTTGTGTTGTTCAATATTTCTTCCTTTTTGTATACAAATCAAAGCAGATTACTCTGTAAAATTTCAACAATGAATATTCTTTCTTTAAAAACAATCGAAAAATATAAGTCAATACACACAATCAATCAATCATTCATTGACTCTTTTTGAGAGTGTCAGTGATAACGTCCATACATGCAGGGCACAGTCGAGGCGGCGTGGGGTGGGCTTGCGACAAACTGGGCCTGTGACAAACTGGCATGCTTCCTATTTTTCCAAAACAGGCCTTACAATTGTCATCAGAAATTAAACCCATCATATTTTGTGCCAAACTTTGTCAGATATTTAAAAACTTAAGTAGTTAGGAATTAATTAATTTGTTACAAATAATGACGTGCTGGAAAGAACTGGAATTGAAGGTTAAGACACGAAGATGGAAAGAAGAAGATTGAAATATTTGGGACATGTTTTTAAAATGCTAGAGACAGGATGGCGCTATCAGATTTGAAACTAGAGACCAATGGTAAAAGAAGAACAGAACAGTAAGACAAACTGGTGACTATAACAGTACAGTCAGAGATGAGCTGAAGGATGTGACATGGATAGACAAGCGTGGCACTGGTGTCTCTCTATCTCGCGTATGTGATGAAACAGGGAAAACGTACATAATGAGGGTCCTTTTCTTCTTGACAGATGATCTTAAAGCAGTACGCATGATACAGCTTTGCCTTGGCGGTATACAATAATGGAGGAAGTAGATTGTCCAAGTACTACTTCCCTCCATTCTGATCTTGACTTTTTTTATATGCTCCAAAGGAAAGACAAGGTCAGTACATTTGGAATTAAAGAAGGTGTAAAGGTGTGTCTCACAATTTCTATTTCTTCTCAGCTAGATTTCATGAGTAGTCGGCTACTGACTGATTCTTCAATCTGCACTGCAACTGATTTTTCCATATCATATTATCAATTTTCGTATTAAGTTGAGCCCCCTTGCCCTCAGCCAAGGCAGCCATATTCCAATTTTTAAGGTAATCAACATGTTTTTATACTGACTAGAGTATTTTCAGATTCGGTTTCAGTGGGAATTTCGAATTTTGCCCGGGAAGCAGCTGAAGACTACTTTTATCAATTATATGACCACCAAGGGATCTTTAAAGAGCACAACTTGCAGATGGGACCTCTGAAATTTTTTCACCCTCATCTGAGAAGGCTAGGTGTTTGATCTCACCTGCCTTAAGATCAAGGGTGTGGCCAAAAGATAGCAGTATGAAGGAGTAGTAGTAGAACGAGTCAAGAGCCCAAAGGATGGGGAGCGGGGGAGAGAGAAGGAATGGAGGGGGAGATGAACGGAAAAGGGGGGGGGGATGCAGAGAGTGAAGATAAAAGCAGATGACAGAACACGACTAGAGAATAGGAAAGGAAGTGAAAGGAGAAAATTTTGGAGTAGACATTTTGCTGTTGCTGTCAGGTTTTGAACCCAGGACCTATTGAAAGGGAATCCAACACCATACCTCAAGACAACGAGAGTCCTAAAACCACTTAAATTCAAGAACATCCTTTGGATTCAAACTGGAAATGTCCACACCAAGCTAACATATTTTTATTGGGGTAAAAATTGTCCATGGAGTATATATTATATATAACATGTATTAAAGATATCTAATATTACTTTAACAAAAAAATTATCTTTTTTGTGCTCTGATGGAGTAACATACAGAAGGGATGCGGAGATATGACAACTGTACAGTGTTTTAAATTTGCAGGCTGAGGGGGGAATTGGAGAGAAGGCAAAAAAAGGAAGAAGGAATGAAGACGTGTCGGTTAAGGGACTAGGGAGGGGATGCAATGAGGCTGTTTGAGAAAAGTGGGTTGCATGTGTGTGTGTGTGGGGGGGGGGGGGGGGGGGACAGGAGGATGACGGTACTTTTACTAAAAACAGAAAAGAAAAAAAGACAGAATTAACGAACTCTGAACAATTTGAAGGCGTCAAAATCTGGTAATTCTAAAAACTTGGACTGTTATCACAAAAGCAAAATTTTGCATGATTTATAAGGGAGTTCATTTATATCTCTCTTGACCTTCTTCTCTCGACATTACTCATGTACTGCTTAATCCTAATTTGATTGCTTTATTTCTATCCCCCCTCCCCCCGTAAAGCAAAGAAACAAGCATGTACCCTGAGCAAGAAGGAGAAAGTTGGATCAAATCCTTGTTTGATATAGATTGACACATGGGGACGACAGCTAGATTTCTCTACAAAAGCTATCATTTTGGACAGTTTAACAAAATTTTCTAGGCCAGTCAGGTGTTTTCGATGAAAATCAAGGCCAACTGTCAATCTGAAAACACTTTGTGATACATAATATTGCATGGTCAGACCTTATATTTTTGTATGAAATTCGATGGGATCCAAGAGATTTCCACGTCAAATTTGAAGCTACAGTCTGTTCGGTGTAGGGCACACTACCCCTCCCCCCCCCTTTCACTCCCCCCCCCTCCCCTCACCCGAAAGCACCATTACCTGACTCGATCCTATCTGATCTGATCACACAGGTCAGGCCCATTCAACCAATAGACGTCTTTATTTACGCCACAATTTACGTACCTGTTTGATTGACCACAATAATAACCAAAGTTAGGTCTACAGGCCACTTGAGGCGATCATCGTGTTCTCCTTTGACCACTCGAAGAAAGACGGACATACATGTGCCATATCCAGTTCCATTGCCATTGAGGTATGCCTCCAGTTGACATCTGCAGCAAGATTTTATTGTAAATTAATTGACTACAGCCTTAAAATGGTTATAAGCGATCAGCCCTTCTAACCGGCTGGGAAAGCTGGAATATTACTAAAGTTAACAAAAATAAACAACAGGTAACAGAATGGGGTTTTTTTTCGTAATTGGGAGAATGCTGGAAATGTCGTAGAAGGAAGAGAAAACAAATGAGGGGGTGCTGAAAGAGGCCGGCAGGCGACAGTGACAAATAAAACTATCGGGAAGAGATAAATGCAGCTTCTGGATCTCTTGGATCGACATAATCTAATATAGGCTTTCAACATGTTAGTACTATCACTTTAAAAAATAGAAGATATGTGAGGCAAAGGTAACGCAAGGATTACCTACAAAGAAAACTTTAATAGATGAGTAACAGTACAAAAATGTGATATTCTGTGCCTATAATTTAACCCTGATCACCGATATCTGTTTCACATCTGGTACTTGGAAAAGTAGAAGAAAATTAAAGTTTGAGAACACTTTTTTGCTGCTGGTGTTGACACCCTCCTCTAACCACAGTGGCATAGTGGGTAACAAACTTGGTTTGCCAAGTGAAAGTTCCAGACCTGAATCACAGTGGAGTTCTGATTACTCCAACAACAAATAAGTGCTCCGCTTTCGAAACAAGCTACATTGTGGATACCGGAAATAATACCGGTACAACAGAGAGTTAAGAATGTCTTTCTAAATGCAATACATGTATAAATCATTTCTGAGGTGGACTACGGCGTTTGGCCCACCTTCATAGTACGCACATTTTTCGGAGAGGAAAGGTGTTCAAGGACAGATGTGAAAAATTGTGCATCAAAAGGAATCCAAACAGGTCATTAAGAATGTTGTTTTAAGTTCACAACTAACAGTTCATTGCCAAAGTCCAAAGTTTAAAGTTTCTAACGAGATAAGCCACAACAAAATTTTCAAAAAAGGAAATTATATTTTATATTGCTGTTTTTGTAATAAAACGTGATGATATTGAATTGGTAAATATCACGCCTGCTTGTTAGATTAGTCGCGAATGACAAGATAGGGGCCTCTTCTGTAGTCTATCCCAAAAGGAGAAGAAGCTCAAAGAGATAGATACTCGTTAAAAATGAACACAAAAAAGCAATCAGTTAAAAGAAAAATTCTGACTCAACAAAATAAGATGAACCATAAGACAGACAAGTACATGTATTTGCAAAGGAAACATACCTGTACCCCTGATGAGTAATGTAAAAGAGTCTGCTGACTTCCTTTGAGCCTCTGTTCATCTTTTCGTTTTTCAACTTTGCCTTGTAGTCGGAGATAGTCCACTCGAAGGTTGCCTCCACAGCAACAAGAGAAGGAGGCCGGCGCTTCAAAGGGACTGGAGCTACAGGTCCACCATTTGGCAAGAAGAACATAGACACAATAACATTTATTAAACACGAGAGAAGAAGTAAGTCAGACAGAAATGATAAGCTATATTATAAAGTAACAAATCCGTTAGAGTCAGAATAGGCCTATCTATATTCTATTATATATAATATATCATTTGAACAGCGCAAATTCCTCTTCAAGAACAAGCTCTAGAGTGCACTACAATCTATTTTATTACTTCAGCAATCCTGATATTGATAACATTCTGAAACAATCTCAATTTCCTGGGAAGTATACAGTGCAAGCTGCCATCTTACAGGCGCTGAACACTCATACTGACAATATGCTGTTGTCCTGCCCTCATCTGTCTAGATCTAAATTTACCAAGCAGAATTAACAGTTTTGCATTGAGTAGGGTCCAGTCCTAGGGAAGAAGGCAACAGTAAATCACTGCGGTAAATTTCTATGAAACCAAACGATAAAAAGCCAGAATAATTTAGAAATGTGTAGCAAATTAATTTGGCGATGTCCGTCTCATCTCAAATCTGTCATTTGAAGAATAACATGTCATATAGCGTTTGTTCTTTCCCAATCTTGAACACCTTCACTTAGCCCCCTGACCTGAGAGAGGACCAGCTAGGGACTCCATCTTCAGACTGATCTCACTGCGTTAACTGGTGCGTAAATCAAAAGCAAGAACACCAAGCTAGAATGATCAATATGGTAATTTTTATTTTTTTAAATGTAAACAATTAGATCTAACTCCCCCCCTCCCCCCCCCCCCCCCCAATCGACATGACTGAGGGTAAGCCTGAGCACAGTGTGATACAACATTCCAAATGGAGAAGGGGCCTACTTGTTAAAATAGCTTTCCTACTTGAGAATCCAACTCAACTAAAAGTCCACCTATTACACTGCACACTCTGTTGCGTGGAGCATGATTTATGAACATTTCATTGGGATCTATTTCTTTACCTGCAACAATTGAGTCTTTTCCATGGGGTCCTGGGGGCAGCACAGGAGAGGACGAGCACAAATGGCTTTCTGGCTGAGCTGGTTTAATCTGTAAGGCAGCTTGGCTACTCTTGCCGTCATTTGAGTTAAGTTTTTGTTCTAAGGCTTTTACCTGCAATGGATGGAATCCCATACTTTTAATAAAATGTAATAATCTAGTGGAATCAAATTAATTTACTTTCACAAGAGGACATTACATCGGAAGTACTTCTGGACAGAAAACATAATTTACTTTACATCATGATCCCCTTTTATTTGTTGAAACAGAAAAAAATACCTGGCTGCCTTCATAAAAAGTGCTGTCCATGATTACTGAACCTCTATTGTTCATAACAAACATCTTAAAGTTAGCTGTAAGCAGCTTTATTCCAAGAGTGACACAATTTTAACTACTTCACTGCTGTGTTGGTGAGACCACAACTCAGGTGGTCAAGAAATATACTTGATCGGATTTGTCGAACCTACTTAGTGGTCAAAAATAAAAAAGGCACTGCCACAGACCAAGTGTCAAAACATCTGTACAGAGTAGTGCGAGCTCATTAACAAATGGAGAAAAAGGGTAAGGCCTACTGGTGGGGTTGGTTGTGGGTAGGGGTATTCTAAATCTTTGACCACATTATTCACAATACATAATAATAACAATATGCTCAAGCAGCAATTCAGTGAACATGATATTTTGGTTTTTATATTCGACTCAAGTAACAAGCAAATGTTGATAACCAACCTTGTTTTTCAGTAGGTCATTTTCTTCTTTCAACTCATCATGAGATGGGTAATTCAACACTTGATCATAAGGATCCTCTTCTGGCTCGGGTTCCTGCATCTTTGATATCCAGTTCAGACGATGAAAATTGGCATACAGTTCCTCTATTTGTACATACAGATGATTGGTCGACATAGACTTTACTCGTTCCTGGAAAATAGTCAGTTTTGCTTATGGAAAATCTGTATTATTTTATTATTTTTTAAAGAAAAAGCTGGCTGACCCCTTTACACTGTTTTTGTAAAGATAAGAGAGTGCATGTTAATTAACTAAAATACAGAGTAAAGGAATACTAGGGGACTTTGTAAGTGAATATACAGATCATTGTATTAGGTGCTTCAGATCAAGTTTTATAAGAAAACATTCTTAACCTAGCAGAGTAATACAAATATTTAAAATTTGTAAAAGTAATAATCCAGGGGGTCTAAAAAATCAATAACTCACCTAAAGGACAATTATTAACTCAGTCATATCTGTACCGATTTAAACAAAATTTCTAACAAACAAAAATCAACCATATGTACATCAAGTTTGTAAATATAAAGAAACTCAATTCAAGCATATTTATGTGAAATATCAAGCTTAAAAACTTCCTCCAAAATTGGATATTACGCAAAATTTTACTTCTTGAAAAGCGGTCACCTACAAGGGGTGTGATCAGCATGTTCTGGTTACATGACAAGAGCAGTAAAACCATCGCAGTCACATAATTAGATGGATGTCTCACTGTACTGAGAAAGTTTTGCAGAAGTTTTGGAGGGGGAAGGGTGGTGTTATGTTGTAAAAGGCGTGGTTCCAGTTGGATGGGGTCACACCCCATAGGTCAAGAGTGGCCCTGGTATGGGTGTAAGAAAGATTTAGGGAACCGCTTATAAGCCACAAGTGAATGGTCACCACATTCTCCCTAACTGAACTTGAGCCCCTTTGAGTTATTTGATGGGCAGAGTCCACGGAAACAGCCAACGAACAATCGAACATTTAAAACTCAAAATTGAATGTGATGTCCAAAAAAATGCCACAGGGTTATTCAAATTTCCAGTGGCATAATGGACCGTGTCGTGAGAGAAAAGGTAAACACCTGGAGATATGAACAGCCATCACCTCCCTGGGTTCATTTGGCAATATTAATTTTGCATTAATTTGTTCTTCACGGCACCGATAGTGACTATTTGAAATGGAACTACACGGTTGATTTGAAAGAAGTAGCCAATTTTTAAGTTTAACTCAATTTTTGGTTGAAACTTTAAAAATTTGATAATTAATTTTCAAACATGTCTTTTGAAATTTTTTAATAGAGAACAAATGTAATTTCCTCATAGTTGAATTTGATTTCTTCGAAACTTTGTTGAAATTGGTTATAAAATGATTGTGTTATTGTCTTTTAAATGAGTCCTCTTTTATTTAGACATCCAGTCTTTCCAAGAAAAGTCTGGTGGTGAAATGGTATAGGTTTAACGCCCCTATCAACACTATCATAAGTTATTTAAGAGACAGAACCTCCGAGTTTAATGTCCATCTCTGAAAGGATCAAACCAATTACAAAATTTGTGTAAAATGCCTTTTCTAAGGACACGACATTGGACCAAGCTGAGGTTCGAACCGCCAAACTGCGATCTCAAATGTAGGAGTCCGGTAGCCTAATCACTAGACTACCGACGCTCCAGAAATGTCTGCAAGTAATGATTGGAAACAAATCAGAATAAACAGAGTACATTTTGTTTTCCTTATCATTCTTTTAAACTTTGAGTATGTTTCTCATTCCTTCAAATGCTCATTTCTTCTTACACACTTGCTTGTCCCTGCACAGTTTTACCACCTACGTAATAATTATATTGGCAACGACCCTGTAAGGACTGTTAGACATTTAAGAATCTTAAGTCCGTCTCTGGAAGGACTGAGACAAGTATCAGTTGGTAAAGAGCCTTGAAAAGTACGCAAACAGGTTAAGTTCAAGGATACCATAGGGGAGTTGAACCAAGCCACTGGCACCATATAGCCTACCCCTGAGTAAATGTTAAACTCCTCGACAAAAAAAAAAAAAAAAGAAATGATATTTAATGGTACGATCTTGAAATTACAGGTAGACTACTGGCGTCTTAGGTGCAAAGGTAAGGTCCTTTGCAGTTGATGAATGCAGATAATGGGATTTCAATTCCCCAGAAATGATAATTCCTTTTATCCGGTATTTTCTCCTGCTTGCTGGAATGTTGTATCCCATTCAGCTATGGTTGAACCTTGAAGTCAAGATAAAAGCAGCTTGCCTCCCAAATGATCTACATTGTGACTTATTTACAGACAGTCGTGCCTCAAGTAATCTACCTGGAAAAGATGAGCCTTTCTTAAACAATTTAATTGGATTCTTGTAGGTGTTTACATCTTATAGATAAAAACCACAAATATGACTATTTGTTATCTTAGAAAATTTGAACAGCTACTGTAAAAAACTGAAATGGTCTGATGTTATCTTTGAGAACGTGTTTTCACTTGTATTTTTAAGTAAAATGACGCACATTGGCAGGACACAAAAATGTAAGGCAGCGTGGGAAATCAGGAGCTCATCAAAATAATGAATGAAAGTGAAGAAACTGACATTTTCCCGCAGGTTGGGGAATTTTTATCGACTTTTTATTTTTTGGCTCAACACCTTTTATGCCCATACATAAAAGAACACATTTCTGTGTGGACTTTATATTGAAAAACATTGATTAAAGGCATAAGATAAATTCTAGGTTTCCACAGACTCTCAAGTTAAGGAAATAACTAAACTTTGAAGGCCATTTTCTCTCTAATTTTACCTCTGAAACCAGGCGACCCCCATGTCCTTCAATAGCTATTATTTTGACCTGCATCCAAGATAAATGGATAATTTTTTCATTGAAAGCAAGGCAGATGAACAGCCTTTAAGATTATACCTATAACTCCAAAAGCCCAAAACTTGACAAGCACCTCATTCCACCACGTCGTGACACAAAGGGTAATTTAAGATGAGAAAGAGTAGGACAGACAGACAAAAGCAAAAAATGAAAAGTAAGGAAGTAGGACAACCAGTTTAGCTCTGAAATCATCCACTTTGGAATGGGTATTTAAACCACCATGAAAACAACCTCAATATAATTCACATGGCATACAAAACAAAATGCAGTACCCTACGAGAAGGGGTAAAAGTAAACTTGGACTTCCTGTTCGGAACTTATTCGACCTAGTCAGCACATCTAAGGCCTCCATTTTCTGTTGGGCTGCATTTGGGTCACCCAAACATCATGGGTGAAAGGAGATTTGAAGAACTAACTTTTACTCTGGATAGGGTACTTTCTATGATGAGCGTCCCAGACAAATAATGTATTGTATTACAAACAGAGGAGAAAGCAAATATGTCGTAAGATATTTGATAAAAAAATTAAACAAAAGGAAGTAGTCTTGCAGATTTAGCACACAAAATAGAAAAATAGGTAGGTAGTCTTGGACAGTAGACCTGATTACTGAGAGTCGTAAGAGGCTGCCAGTGGTAGGCCTTATTTCTTTACCCCCTCCCTTGTTTCTGTTTATCTGTCTTGCTGTTTTCCGGCGCCAAAAATGACAATTATTGTGTCAACATGTTGTGTCTGTAATAATACTACAATCTAAAGGCAGTAATGAAAGGAGGAAAATATAGCAACGTTCTCACATTGGGCCCCACATCTCGGCTGTTGGCTATCGTCTGACAGGCAATAGCTGCTAACCCAACTGCCTTGGTCTTCCTGAGGGTCTGAACACGTCTTGAGATGCGTGGCTACAAGAAAAAGATATACAAAAAAAGAAGATAACATATTGGGCTCTTTGATTTGGTGTCTTACTCAAGGGGATTAAAGACGTAAAAGCATGTCATGATATTCTTGTCAAAGCATTGAAAAAATACAAAATGACATGACAAGAGTGTGGAGCCTTGAACTTTTCATTTTCCCTGTCAACTGACATACATTCAGGAAAGCAGTGGGAACAAGTTACCAGTAGGCAATGTCATCATATTATGACATGAAGTTTCGTCACTGTCAAATTTTGCTATAAAAATACTAATACGACATTGCTGCATGTCAATAATACTTTGTATTCACATACACACAGCGAACAACCAAATCGTGAATAAACAGAAAAACAAGCAAAAGGTGTATCAATAAAAGTAGAAAGAAAGACGAATAACATATCATGCATTATCTCAATGGTAATATGACCTTCAAAACACTTTATGTGCTGTAAATGTCTCACGTCCACGTCACCACATGTTAGATCAATGAGTAGGTCTATTGATCATGCACATGCATGTTTTGCTTTCCAAGGACATGCCACAATCTTGAGTTTCAATTTGAAAAAAAGTGAGTGATGTAGAGACTTTTTCGACTATGGTTAATGCTCAAATTCACGCAAAAACTTTTATCCCCCCCCCCCTTAAATTTTTCAGAAGAAAAACAAAAGTCTTAGAGGGCCAAGGGTGGCATGACGAGCACTCAATGAAATTAACTTTATTATGTATCATGGCCTCAGGCTCTAGACGTTCAATCTTTATTGCACCTTGTAAAGGTGCTGCATGGTCTTCCTTCATATTGTTTAACCCAGCTGCCAACGAGCTAGATCTATATTACACAAAAACGTGGATGCAGATCGATAAAGTTTGAGTGTACAATAGAGGCTGGGATGTACTTACATCCACAAACAATGGATTTCTTATTTGTATTTCTGTCAGATGTTAAAACCTCTCAAGGCTGAGGTTTACAGTGTAATAAGTAGGTTCTTTGCAGATGCATATGTAATACATGTACTTGTCCGCTGGGATGCTAAATCCTACTGTAACCCAGGTAGGAAAAGAGCTGCCCGTCTTCTAAATGATCGACTTTGTATCGATAACTGATGGCATAAAATATTTAAGTTATTTTTTAAATAGAGACTGTACACAAATAGAAATAGTGTTTTAAAGCATATCAATTTTGTCTTACCTGGCTCTCAATAAGCTTCTTCAGATGTGTGTCATGTTCTTCCTGAAGCTGCCTGAGTCGGACTTGTTCTTGTTGCTGTGCTTCTTGCACGGCTTTCAAATGTTCTTGTTCTTTCTTTAGTTGCCTTATGGATTGCAAAAGCTCCTCCTTTTCACTCGCTGAAAACTCTTCATTCTTTTCATCTTCGACCACATCCACTCCCGGAGAATTTTGGTCAAGACTTACAAGAGTTTTTACTTCTGGAGATTTTTGTAACAGTCTATTAATATAGGATAATTGTTTGAGTAAAAGAAACTAATCAATACAATATAAGTCATTTGTTGCAAAACAATAGACAAGGCAGGGTAACAACGAAAGTAAAGATACAAAGCAGACACTTCATTCGTTCACAATCTCAGGAGGGATAAAGCGTATCCACAAAGGTTTGCAAGTACCACAAGTGCCTCTTTTAAATTTTGTCATTAAGCATGCACAAAACAAAGTTGAGAAGCAATCTGGAAAGAGGAAATCAAGAAAAGACAAATCAGAATAAATCATAATGGAAGATTCTGTCTAACGGCTAGGGTACTGACATCAGTTATAATAGCCAAGCACTTATGAACTTGTTCAGATCAGCACACATTAGTGATTCCAGCCGTTTTTGTTGTCTTAAATTGCTGTAAAAGATATCAAGAATAAGCCCCGAGGAGCGTGAAAGAGCAATCGAAACGGCCTAAGCTGGACAATTGACCTGTAGAGTGGTGCAGATACTTCACTACTCCCATACGACTATCAATAACTTGAGAGACAGGTTCCAAGTCTCTGGAGTTACACCTGACAGATCCAAACCAGGCAGACCAAGCATCACTACTACAAGACATAATATAAATACTGCTCTGACATCTTTGACATCAATTTCTCACAACATGTAGCTCTGCATATCAATTTCATACCGACCCTGGAAGAGTTGTCAACGACAGAATGATACGACAGAGTTAAAACACGTTCGGACCATCATCAAGGCGGACACATTATAGTGAACGTTAGCCACCTTTCCAACAATTTTTACACTTGAACACTCAGCAACTTTTATACCACTGGGATAGAGTCGTTTTCTCAGACGAGTCACATTTTGGCTAGAGTCACATTGACAGCAGTGCGAGACTTCAGAGACGCCATTATGGGAGCACATTTTCAAAGTTACGGTCAAGGCTAACCAATACCACAATGCTCTACGGATGTAAATGGTTCCCGTCTTTCTAACTCATAGAACTCATAGATGTAAGCACACATTCTGGCAAGACAATGCTCACCCTTGTGTTGCTCGTGTGTGTAAACATGCAGTATTTAAAGCAGTAAAATGGGAATGTTTTACCGTGGCCAGCTTACTCGTCAGACATGTCACCCATAGAGCACACATCAGTTAGGCTGATTTGAACAGTGAGTGCCCAAATTGACATCAACACTGTTCAACGACCGGGGAAAACCTTGGTTCAAGAGTGGACTGGATTACACAACAGTCAATACTGACTCGATCAAAGCGCAGAAGGTGCCAAGCCTTGAATCACTGCAACAGGCCGCCATACCCGTTATTGGCGTCAACTTTAAAAACCAAGGGTACCAAGTGTGCTTAGCACTGTGTCACCATATCAGCCACTATTAAGATAAAAAGGTACTGATAATACACTTCTTGAAATATTTTGAATATGTTTATTTTAATTTTAGTTTTATATGTTGAATAATAAAGACAATAGAGCCTTTTTTTCCAAGTGGAGAGTTTCTAATGTCGCTGCGTATAACTACACATTCATTTAAAGGCATTTCCTGTCTGAGTTGATCTTTGTAGAGCAGGCGGTACACCAGTTGACCACCAAATGGAAAGCCTGGCCTCGAGACCGGGGCCGAGGGGTTTTGACCACTCGTATTGGAAGATTGGGGCAACTGCTCTCCACGTCTCATGCCCTGAACCTTGAAATGACCTATTTCCGCTTAGAACAGTGACAACAAATAGTATGAAAAAAGACAAACAACAAAAAAACCAAAACTTTCCATTTTACCTGTTTCTAAAGAGTCCACGTATGATGGGGGTACTAAAGATACATAGGAAAATCCAGAGTTTGATCGTAAAGGTTCATGTAACTGTTCCACAACAGCCCTTTCCTCTGAATTCTGAAACAAAGTTACATTATTCTTTCAAATTCTGTCAACCTTAAAACCCAATCTCTCTCTCTCTCTCTCTCTCTCTCTCTCTCTCTCTCTCTCTCTCTCTCTCTCTCTCTCTCTCTCTCTCTCTCTCTCTCTCTCTCTCACTCACTCTCTCTGTATATGTGTATGTGCGCATGAAAAACACAAAACAAACAAAAATACACATCATGCACTATGATTGTTCCTCATTCAGTTTGAAAAATTAAGAAAATAAAAGCAAATATTATTCGGCGTAAAACATATTTTACTGAACATTTTATACATTCCGGCACATAATCAACTCGAGTTTAGTGTTTGTGGTGTAACAATAGGCTCTTCCTTGTTGCACGCTCAAGATACGAGTTTGACTCCCGAGTACGGAGAGGTTTATTTATTTTAAAGTGAGTTCTTCAATCTGTAGGCTGAAGTATAGCACTTGTCTCCACCCAGGTTGGCCCTGACAGGCAAAGTCCAAGCAGTCAGCCTCTAAATGAACTAGGTAGTGTTGATGGGAGCGTTGATAACTTACATTGATAATACTCGTAACATAGACTCAAGTATTCTAATATACTTACAAGCTCAGTTTCCGGATGTTTCCCTCTGACATCTGTGCTTCTGGAACAAAATCCAGTGGAATGGCACTCTGTGCCACCCGCTTCAAGATCCCCTAAGAGGTAAGACAAAAGGCAAACATTTGTAACGTTGCAGAAAATGAATGGAATAATCTGACAACCAAACTAGGCGTTTCTTAGTTGGAAAGGCGACAGGGGTAATTTTATAAACTCAACTTTAATATCTTATCTGACTCTTTGCCTCTTTCCTAAATACCCTTCCTCTGTATAATATTGAAGAAAAATACCTTCAAGGAAAATATTGCACTGTGGTGGTGCCCTTTTTTGGACACATTATCACAATATCGATTTTTATAAATAAATGCATTCTTTAATGCACAAATACACATAATGGTTGATCTTTAAGAAGATGTTGAGTTTTGAGTTTTTCAGTTTTAAATTTTTTTAAAGATAATTTCTTAACATAGGGCCTATAATTAGTTACTTTTCTTCATTTTGGAAAGTTTACCGTCCCCTTACTCAAATTGTATTGTTTTTCAAAGGTTCATTAAAATTAGAGCAAAGATAGCTGAGTTAATACACTTTACATAGGTCCTTTTCTTTTTAGACACCCGGCCAGTAGTTATAATAATGTTTGGCCTAATAATAATAGGCTACATGTACAATAACCTTGGTTTTTTTCTCTGTTACTATCTTTCACACCCACCTATTATGTCCTTAAAAAATCTCCCACTCTGTCTGTCTGTCTGTGTGTCTGTCTGTCTGTCTGTCCGTCTGTCTTTCCGTCTCTCTATCTCAGTGTCTCTCTCCTTAGCTTATCCTATTAATTAAGAAGCCTCATCTCCTCCCTAAACACCCCAAAACTCCAATTCTCCATTCTTTTATCTCCCTTGCGAGTTTTTCGACATTACTCTTCTGTGCTTTAAAAAAAACCCAACTATATTATAAACAAGTAAATCACTGAAAATCTAAGAAAAAAAACAAACTTTACCCATATGTTGCCGTGGGGCTTCTGTATCCAACCTAAAAAAGCCTGCTTCCCGTTCCTGAGCCTGAAAGCAAAAACAAAAACACTAATGTAAAATCACAGGAAGGACAAGACTTTTCCGCATCGTTCTAACAACACCACCACCAACTTACAAACAAGCATAAACATGAACTAACCAACACTGATCTTCACGTAGCCTACAAAATCTTTATAATAAGTAGGCCTAGAGCAAAACGTGAGTTATAGTCCAAGAGCCGGGTCTACGTAGGCCTACAATAAGTACTAGATCTAGAACGTTGTTTAATTTTCCATCATAAAGTTTATTTCTTTGGTGATTCTGCTTCCTCGGGGTCTCTCGACTTCATATCAGTCTCGGGCCAACTTGTAGCTCTATCTTAAGAGCATATTTTTTTCTGTTGGTTGAAATACACCAACCCGTATCATGCAAGAATGATGACCGAGCGATTCATGGGGATGAGTCGACCAATATTCGCGAGGGAGGGGGGTGTGCTAATGCTAACAGTTCCTCTCGCCGTGATGACACAGGTACAGCTGAAATGAAAATTTTTGTTTGGGCTCTAAATTAAGTGTATTGGGATTCCCAATAACCAGTATGGGTCAAGAAACAAAAACACACTACCCCTATATGATTTCACTGTCAATTTTTTGAATTTTTAAGATGCAAAGGGTCCGACAGACCAAAATTTGCGCAAATTATTGGCAGGGATTCTAAAAAAGATTGAATTGATACAGCCTTGATATTGTCACACAGAGTTTGTGTATATACAACCTGCAACGCACTAAAGATTTACTTTCCTAAGTCTCATACTTTTCTTGTAACTGCCCTTTTAGTGTCATATACGATACTTGGACAAAAAAATGACCACAAATCAGAGTTATACTGCCAATCTTTTTAACACTGACGGAAGACTTATTAAAATATGACAATAATCTTTTAGTACGTTGCAAACATATTATCTAGAAACAGTCATGCAAAGTGGGATTCAGCTGCGACGAGTACTTTTAGAAATATCTCTGCCAAGGTGACCCCCCCCCCCCCTAAGAAAATCATAGTTTTGAGAAAACTTTAAAAAACACGAATTCATACCATTCTATTACCACACAATGTTAAAAAACATGGCATATGTGAGCACTTTATAGATGTTTTGGACACTTGAAAATATTTCCAATCGATAAAGCAGATGTTGCTCTACTAAAATAGTCCAAAATCGAAAAATCGGTTTTGGATACCAAAATCGACTTTTTAGGCTGCCGTGGTGTACCTTAACGAGAACTCGGATTCAACGAGATGAGATAGATTCCCCGATTTTTTTCTTCTTTACAATCAATAAAAATAACCCGCATTCAACGAGCACTTAAATCAGAGGGCTCGGATTTAACTACTCTGGCGTGTGTCGGGGTCGGATGGGCTGCCTGCACACGTATGGCTGTGTGTGCGTGTGTTGGGGAGGGGATCACTAGCGGTCTGGGCTTTGAACGTCGCAGATACAAACGCGTCAGTCTTTTTTTCCACTCGGTAACTGATAATTATTACAATGGTAAGCTAGTCTTGACGTAGACCTACGTAATGAATTGCGCGCTTGCCTATGGAATCAAATTTAAGGGGGGGGGGGGGGGGGGGGGGCGGCTACACCCCCAAAATCAAAATTCGGCTCAAAATCATGGAATTTGAGTTGTAGGCATTTTTAGCTTCCTCAGCCTCTCCTACAACTATTTCATGGCATAATAACCCCCAAAAATCGTATTTTTTCCCATACCGGGCATGTTTGTAACCGCCATTTCCTCAATAAGTCAGTATTTTATTTTTCTTTATCGGCCGTTTTCTCAAAATGCGACTTTCCTCTATACTTTTTTAAATAACTCCACCATTTTTCATCCAATCTTCATGAAATTTTCACAGAATGAAGGGAAGAGGTAATACCAAAAATTTGTCTGTTGAATTTTTGATATATGGAATAGATTTTTGTTGGCGGTGTCTGGAGTATGGATTTTCACGGATTTTTCGCAAACTTAAAGGTACCTCAGGAAAAAATTAATTACAAATTTTCTAATTCGATTAGGAAAAAAACAACACACACATTTTTAGATCTGATGTTTGTGAACACGCATGCAAAAAAACAATCAATTTCCATGAGCGATAAGTGCGGCATTCATTACGTAACACATGTCAATAAAATCCAATATTGCGGCGTATCCATGGAAACGAAACTTTTTTCTCAAATTTGAATGCGGATTTTAAGACTCCTTACTATGCTTGTTATATGTGTAAAATTTGGTAAAATTCAGTACAGTAATAAGCGAGATAGCCTCCAGGTGTAGCCCCCCCTCCCCCTTAAAAGTTACCGTATGCTAGGCTCTACTAGACTCTACACAGCAACACAACTTTGTTGTAAACAATCAGGATGACACAGGCGTGTGCATTTGAACGAATCGGTCTTTTTTTTTACACAGCTCATAATATGATTATGCAGGCATTTCAGGCACTACTTGTGACTTCTCTTTATACCTTGCTTGCTAAGTGCATGTAATTATCTACACAAAACCTCGTGTTTGATGCAATCCTATCTCTCTCTCTCTCTCTCTCTCTCTCTCCCTCTCCCTCTCTCTCTCTCTCTCTCTCTCTCTCTCAGATTATTAGACATGGAGTGTTTTTTTCTGTCAAAGAAAGAACCCACCTCTGATCAAATCGAGACGGATTAGTGGTTTTCAGGAAGCAAGCTGGCAACGAGATAATGGACTCAGTCAGAGACTTCTAGAAAATGCAGAGTTTATACTGTGTCACAAGAACTGTGTGAGCACATATATTGCTCCCAAGACCGTATTTAGCGACTTTCACAAAAGAGAAAGACTGAAGAACTTTATGAAGAAGAACCCAAACTTTAGGGGTAGTACTAGTTCGTTTAATTTTCGTGATCATTGTTTTTTTCTGCAGAGAAGCATGCTCACTGATACGTTGGGAAAAAGCCTACTTATGCCGAACTGGAGGGGAGAAAGGGAGGAAGATCACCAAAGAAGAAATACAAAAACGTGGACAGAACCTTGGCCTGCAGCGCCATCCAAATTCTCGGTTTTCATCACAACCACAGTTGCCACCATTTTGCGACGAGTTCAGTCAGCTCCTGTGTGGCCTTCGACAGATACTACATACTGAGCACAAAGTCATGCTGTCAAAACGCCCTTCAGAAGGGGACAAGTCGTGTGTACAACATGACTGAAGAGTCGCCTTTGCCACAGCAAAGTGCCATGCTGAAAGTCACAACCAACAAGGAACAACTGATACAAATAATTGTACATCGTCTTTGCAGCATGCAGCCTCCACCAGGAACAGATGGTGTCATAACTGAACCAGATCCACACCCCATACACATGGGGTCTGGACTTCAGCAAGACACTCTGTATCATGAAGAAGCTGATGTGCAGGTGGCGTTTCATGTCATCAACGAATTGTCATCAGGACAGTGGAACATCAGGGTAATTTCTGATGACACCGAGGTTATCTTTATCACGGCCCATTATCTCTACATGAGGACCAAAGGAAAGGGCCAGAATATGATTCTGTCCATTAAGTCGTGCACATGTACACATGACGTCATATGTGTCGACGATGTTATCAGACAGCATGCAACAACAACAACAACCCCAAAAAAGCAAAACAAAACAACAACAACAACAACAATATCAACAGCAGCAACAACAACAAACAACACACAAATAAATAAAGCAGGTAGGTTTATTTAAAAACATTGGCCCACATAACATAAAACGTAAATCTTTTACAGAAGATATTTCTCTATAAACAGCACAAATAAATTAAATGACATACTATATATCAATAACATTTTAACAAAGTTTTGTGCTTTTAGTTTCAGTAAGGTTTAACGACGCTCGCAACAGCATATTAAGGTCATATGAGCGCAAGGGGTGAATGTCAACAGAGAAGTCCAAACGTGGAATCAGGCTTACTCTGCTCATCTCTCTAGCCTCAACAGCACATCTGTTTCGACTATCAAGGCACCCAGGAAATAACAGTTCATAAAAGAGTGATAAACCTGCAACAAAAGAAGTAGAGGGAAAATGACGATAGTAAGGAAGAGGAAAGAAAAAGCAGCAGTATCCTCTATGTTGTTCCGGCACATCAGGAGCATGGCATTGATAAATCAGCCCATATTTACATCTCTACTGTGCTTAAGAACATGTTAATACCAC